TAAAAGAAAAGGTTGGAAAGAAGGTCCTATTGATGGTTAGAATTTTTTGTTTGTTTTTAACTAAAAGCTGCACAATAAACTATCCTCCACAGGGAATTGGGCCCTAGATTTTAGCATTATAAGACTGTAAATTTACTGCTATCCCACTGTGAGATAGTGAATAGATATTGCAAGACAATAATGAGATCAAAACCTCATGTGTGAAAGACAAACGTTAAAAACAAAGAACAAAACTGGAAAAAAAAAGAATTGAAGTAGCTGCCCCATCTCTTGCTATGCTACTGACTGTGGATTTAATAATAGAAAATATATATATGTCACTGAAGACATAATTTGATTAGTTTACTTTATAGTAACATAGACAATAGATAGTCTCTAAAACAGACGGAAATGCAGTTCCTGGTATTTCATGGTAGTTTAGCTATCACAGTACTGCCAACTTGTTATAAAGTGAAATTATCTTGTTAATCAAAGAAAGCATGGAGTAGTATACAGTGTTTAGTAATAAACTCTGAGTTCCAATAACAAACTGAACAATATTTCTTTCTTTAGATTCACAAAGATCTAGAAATATATGTAAAATGATATTATTACAATTTTCAGTCAGATTAATATCCTGAATAACTAGTTTTCATGAATGACAACCATACTGACATTGCTTGTGTTTTAATCAAATTAATGTTAGATTTAGGCTTGGTGTTGACATCTATATAAATATAATAGTACTGTCTGTTGTATGTCCATGTAACAACTTCGCATGGTGTGGATAGATCTTCACCGAAATTGGTATGGAGGTTCATTGGGTCCATGAGGAGGTACATGCAAAGTTGTGGTTTCACATTTTGTATTTTGCAGTTTCTATGGACGTTTTTGCCTTTTTTTACAATTATATATAAGGGTAGAAACTTTTCATGTCCTTAGATAACCTTTCATTAATCATAAATTTAAATAAATTCTGTTCAGGGTACAGGTACTTCAGCTAGTTGTAAATAAAACAATAGCAAATAATCATTTTCTTTTAGTTATATTCATTACATGCTGAGTTTTTATGCCCTAATCAGTATAATTTAGACTTAACCTGAGACATAGGATGTAGTGTTTTTTAACACAGAAGCCTAAAACTATCTTAGACCTAAACTTATTTTTAAGAAACTAGGCTATTTTAGACTCCTTGATCTACATCTACCTCTTATATACTTATATAAGTTACCTGTGCATGAGATTTATATCAGAAAGACTCCTTATTTATACATTAGGCTGTTCATTTATTACTAATTAAAACTATATTAATATATATACTGAAAAATGTAATAAATCTATCTATGTATATATATCTTTATTGATTATAGGTGTAAAAAATGGGAAGAAAACACTAAGCAATAAGATCTGGATGGCACATCATCAACAGAACTATATGATAATTACGACATATATATGCAGTTTGTTTTGAGAAGACCATGATTATGAATGTCGAAAAAAAAAAGATTAATGTGTAGAATGCTATTCTCATGCTGTTTTGTGTCCCCAATCCACCACCACATATAACACTAAAAAAAAAAACTACCAGCTATAGCAGAAACTCTATTAAAGAGACAATGAACAGGTACATATATTTGAATAAAAAACAGCATAGGTTATATTTTGTAAAATAAAAAAATATATATGTATAAAAGATCACACACACAGACACACTCACATACACATTTAAATATATGTACATGTGTACAAAGATAATTTATAAAGAAAAAGTTTAAAAACAAAATGTGTCATGTTAATTTTAGTTTTATCAACTTCACTATTACAGAGTTTAAGTTAGTTAGTTGGTTGTTGTTAAGCACAAAGCTAAAAAATTGGCTATCTGTGCATTGTAAGCTTACTGATTTACCAATGAGCCACTGGGGGGCCAGAGCTTAAGAAACAATATTTGTCTTCACACAGCGATGCTTGTATGTGTGTATGTATGCTGGAGGAAACAAGTTATATTAATCTATCAAATATTGGTGACAGATATTTTGTGCTTTTTTTATAAACTTAATGCTAAATATGTCTAAATACTGGTGTTATCTCATAACTTCTTTTCCTAAAACCATATATATTTTCAATGCAAGGGTTATTTAACATCAAGTAGAAAAACAAAAGTTACTTTGTTATTAGTTTTACTGACAAGCTATGCATAATCTTGAATCAGAAACATACCTGTACTTTAAAAATGATTATCATTTTAAATTTTCATTAAATTAAAAGTTTTGTTTTATAATCAAGTATCATTTTTGGAAAAGGGTTATTATGTTATTACAAAATAATAGTTGATTTTTGTTTGCTTAAAAACACCAATACTAGAAGGCAACAACATGAGCATGCCTGACAACAGCTTACAAGACAACCCAGCTGAAGAAAAGAAGGCTAGAAGAAATTATAAAATTACAATAATTATAATAAGCAACTGGAAAAGAAAAGTGAAACTACAAAATCAGAAACCTTGTAAACATAAAATTTAAAATGCATCAAATACAAAACTAGCTGTCAAAACAGATCATTTGATAAATTGGCATGAAAGAATAATTTTAAATGAACCAAATACTTGATTATGATTAACTGGTGTTAATACACAGTTTTGTAGAGAAATATTATTAATCTCATCTACAAAGTAATATATATATATATATATATATTCATACCACCCTTTAAAGTTTATATTGAATTAAATGTCTTTCTTATCAAGCTCTCTGTTTACTGTTTATGTATTGTATTTGATGAAGGCAGCAATAAATTGCTAAAACAAGTACTGTCATTTGATGTTGACCATAGGCCAAATTTTTTTATTGTGCATCTTTTAAATGTTTTTCCTGTTTACTGCAATTTTACCTAACCTCAACAAAATATGTGTAACTTCTAATGACACACTTGTTTTTATGGTATAAGGACTGTGCAGCAAATGGAAACAGACTACAGGTTCTAGAGATGTTCTTACTAGAAGCTGCTGACCAAGTGCAGTTAGTAGGCATAATTGTGAAAGCAGACATATGTCATGAAGATACCACTGACAGAGTTTTTTTACTGGGCTCAAAGTCAGTAGTGATAGCCCTCGAAAGAAAAACATGGTAGCAAGATATTCTTTATGTGCATCTGTTGAAGAGCACCAAAAACAGTTTAGCAAAAATACAATTTCATTTCAAGTTTTACGACTACACTGTGAAGTTGAGCTAACTGATAATGTTTTATGAAAAAGACACAATTTTGCCAACAGGACGTTGCACTAAACTGTTCATTAAAATATGAACAACTTTTTCTAAAATGAGACTAACTGACAGCTCAAGCACTAAGCAACAGTATAACTTCTAGCATTAAGACTTATGTTTCACTGGAAACACTGCCAAAAGAAAGGTTCACAATGCTGTTAGAATTTCTATAAAAAATTATAATAAAAAAACAAAACAAAATATAACTATCTTGTTTAAAATAAGTTTAGATATAAAAATATAATACTCTACAAATACTGGAGAGTTACAGGCATGATTTCAATAAGAAATTTAAACCCATCCCAAACAACCCAACAAACACACATGAAAAACAACTAAACAAAACCCTGTCACAAATGAAGAAAGACAACTTGATTACTGAACATTTTTATTTTATCTAAGGAAAACTGGCTCACACACACACCACAACTCTATGGCATTCCCAATCAACAAAAACAAGACTACCCCATATAACCTATACTATCCCCTTATGATTCATTTAACTATACTTTTGATAAATACATAGCCTAGGCCCTCACACCTTAACTAACTTCTGCAGGTTTCTTTTTTAAAGATGTCTTTAACTTCAGAAACACATTAAACCAACTAAACCCAAACTCTTAATGGCTAGCTTTGACGTTGTATCACTTTTCACTGAAGTTCCCATCAAAGAAGCCTGTAATGTTGCACTTGATCTCTACATTAATGACCCCAATCTTTTAATTCATATCCCCAACACACTTTTCGTTTCCCTTTTAGAATTCACAACAACAAAAAAACAACTTCATTTTCAACAACAAAAACTTTCTTCAAACAGATGGTTTATGCAACCCTGTTTCACTTATTCTTACCAACAAATTTATGATCCAGATTGAAACACAAGCCATACAATCTGCATTTAATCCTCTCCTATATTGGTATAGGTATGTCAACAAAACTTTTGCCAGTTTCACTTCTATAGAACACATAAACACGTTTTTTGAACACATAAACTCCATTCACCCTAACATTAAATTCACCATTAAGCATGAAAATAACAAATACTTGTATTTTCTTAACCTCGACATTATCAGATCTGACATACATTTCAAAACCAAAATTGGCCAAAACTTCACTCAAACAGACCTCTAAATCCCCTGAAATTACATTCACGAATCCAAGCAAAAAATTAAGCGTACTAAAAATCTTATACACACACACAGCTTCAAGACTTTGCTTACCTGAGTACATAGATGAAGAAATCAACTCTATAAAGCATTCCTTGATTCACACCAATAAATTTCCACTAACCATTGTCAAAACATTTCCACACAACCACCAGAACGAAAATCTCAAAATTAAACTCACAAACAAAATTGACCCTAATACACCAAACAACAACACAACATTACACTGCAGTTTACTACTTATCCCTGACATCAGCTCAAAAATAATCAACAGTTGAAGAAAACTTGCCATCAAACATAAAATTTCTGTTGACGTTAAATTCACCCCAAAACCTGGCATTAAACTAATATCATTATTACAAAAAAATTACATAGAATCACACAATTCCAATGTCATTTATAAAATAACATGCAGTAACTGTCCAGAATTATATATAAAAAAACATGTTGTAAAGAGGAAACCAGATTCACTGAACATAATAAAAACTCTCCCATGTCTACCACCATTGCAAATAAAAAAATAACCACAGTATATCCATACAGAATACTGTAATTTTTAACAAAGAACCTAACATCAATAAATATAAAACAAAAGAAGCTATCTTAATTGAAGAAAATAGCCCCACCTTAAATCAACACCCCAGGGTACCAAGATACCTATATTAGACTGTGAAGCAATATCTGGTCATGTGACCTCTTTGTTCTATACTGTACATATACTCATGTATCTCTGTAAGCTACTTGTACCTGAGGATAACAAATCTTGTCGAAATGTCGTATCTTTATAATAAAATTTTTTCATTACCCAGTCAAGCCGTCTCAAACTTATATTTTCTAAAAAGTGGGTTCCTCGTTATCAAGTTGAAACCATTAGTAGGAAATAACAAGCAAAAACACATCCTATCAGTAGGAGTACCAATCCAGAAGTGATTACGGGATACACAGAAGAGAGGGTGCTAGTTATGATAGGAATTGTGTTGCACTCATATTGTTGGAAGTTGCTGCATGATCATTTACATAATAGGATGCAGATGGCTCACGTGAGTAGACATGAGAATATGTGGGAGTATCGACGCCAGTGGCGAGCAAACATTTGCACCTATAGAGGGGAGTAAAAGTCAAGAAAAGCTATTTGTGAGTAAAGGTAAGATATCCTACTGGAATTTGAGGTAATTATTACCTTGTGCTAATTACTATTTTGTTTTTATTCTGAAACTAGAACACATTGTTTTTAGGCTACTTAGATATGTCATTTTGTATCTTAACTAGCAAGCAATTATTGATCCTTCTCTGAAGTACTTATATGAGACTTGAAAACAGCAATGACACGATCTTTTGGCCTTGATACTGGCATCCATTTCAGACTTCCTCCATTTTCTTTCACTTCCCACTGGAATCTTTCCATCAACTTCCTACAGAATTTCTATAAAAAATTATAATAAAAACAAAACAAAATATAACTATCTTGTTTAGAATAAGTTTAGATATAAAAATATAATACTCTACAAATACTGGAGAGTTACAGGCATGATTTCAATCAGGGGCAAACTGGCCCATCAGGACACCAGGCAATTGCTTGGTGGGCTAGTGCATTTGATACATTCTTAGAAGTTGATTTTAAATTTTAATTGTTTATCCAGTAGACAGCATGTTATATTGTCTGGACTGGTCCTTTAATATCAATCTGCCCCTGATTTCAATTAAAAATGCAACACCAGGAACTAGGAGTGTCAAGAGCCAGCATGGGCTTTTGGGAAAAACAACCTCACCGGGCCCCCTCTCTCTCTCTCTTTTTTAACATTTTAAAGAACTTATTAAAAAGAAGATCCTAAATTACGACAGCAATGGGCTCATAAGCAAGGCAAAGTCATAGCAGCAGTCTTTTTTAGCTCACAGCATAAGTGTAAAAACATAATTAAAGTAACAACAAATATCTATTAAATCTATAAAGTAACAAATATATATATCAATTATTACTCAAATTATTATTTCAATCATTCTTAATGTATCAAGCATATATATGCAAAGAAAAGGCAAAAACTATGCTCTTTATGATTAAATGAAGATATAGCTTAAAGATGCTTTGTGGGCTTTCCGGCATAATCGGGTTTCATTCACTTGGGCCCCTGGGCAGTTCCCCCATTTGTTGGTGGGCCCGCCAGAAACACATGATAAACAAAATCATTAGTATATTATAATCAAAGGGTATTTTATTTTGATCAGTGAAACCAAGAAAAAAAACATAATTGAAAAAATCAAACAGTTTTTAGTATAATACAATAGTATGTCACAGTAGCTGTAATTTACCAGCATTTATTACAGCTAGTTTATGAAAAATAACTGTTGTTACCAGAACTATTTTACATTATGCTTCATCATCAGTTCTTGTACAATCAAAGAAATGATTTTTATGCATGGTGCCACAGAGATACACTTTATGTAAATTAGCTATGCTAGGATATGAAAATGCAATGTTAATATTATTACCAAAGTTTGGAACTTTCATCATATTTTACTCATTAGTGTTTATCGTTCAAAATTGACACTTGTTTTTAAAATCTTTGATTCATTTCCAATAGCCTTACAATTAAAACATACTTTCAATATATTTAACATGTTTTCATGAGTGCATATGGAAGCAAAATACTGATATATAAATATATATATACAACCCACTATGGCATCTTTATCATGTACTTACTAGTCCACAGGAACTGACAGTATAAAGTAAGCATTTGTCAATGTACAATGTACCATAAAAACAGTGTAGGACATTTTAATGTTTCATATCAACTATTAACACACCCTCAACACCCATTTCCTTATAAATCCTAAAAATCATGAAGTGTAGTATCATAAGTTACACTATTACTGAAAGAAAAAGTAACTTATTATTCATAACACTAAAACTAATAAGAAAAGGTAACGAAAACAAAAGAATAACATCTACAGAGTTTTAATACCTTATCATATTTAGCTTCAAAAGAGATATAAAAGAAAAGTAGAATTTTTTACCAAAATTACTGCCTCCATCAAATCTGTTCCAATGCAACTCCTTGATCCTGCACCAAATGTGAAAAGTGTAGATCTCTGGGCTGGTACATCTCCAGTCCAACGAGATGCTATAAACTCTTCTGGATTACTGAATACTGATGGATCTCTGTGAGCCGATGTAGCCAGGTAGATAACTCCATACCCCTTAGGAATTAAATATCCTCCCAATTGGCAGTCCTGAAAAATGTATATATATATAATAACTTCTAACTATACTGACAAATACTAAAATTTAGCAGCCATTATTTAGCTTATTCAAAAAGTTTTCTTAATCACATAACTAACTTAACGTGAAAATAAACCAAAGAAAATAACAAAATTTTTGTAAAACATAAAACTATACAAACAAATGAGTATAGAATAAACATCCTAAACTGATAATACACAAACATAGTTTTACCTTGACAGGTTTTAACACCACTGATTATTATCAAATAAACTCAGATTCACTGAAACTGTACCAAAACTATCCAAATGAAAGAGTGTGGGACCAACATTCAACATCATTCAATTCACAGCACACTGAAAGTGTGGGACCAACATTCAACATCATTCAATTCACAGGACACTGAAAGAGTGTGGGACCAACATTCAACATCATTCAATTCACAGGACACTGAAAGAGTAGGGGATTAACATTCAACATCATTCAATACACAGGACACTGAAAGAGTGTGGGACCAACATTCAACATCATTCAATTAACAGGACACTGAAAGAGTAGGGGACCAACATTCAACATCATTCAATACACAGGACACTGAAAGAGTGTGGGACCAACATTCAACATCATTCAATTCACAGGACACT